GGGTTCTATTGTTTAGTATGCGAAAACTTTTCTAATCACTCATATTTAGCGATTACGTCCAATCGAAAATTTAGTACCTAATTTATATGATTTTATTGCTGAATCAAATTATACCGTAGAAATACAAAATACCTGTGGCGAACCAAAAGTGTTAATGCAAAAATAATGACAGATACTGTGAAAAGTATAGCGACAAAGTAAGTAATATAGAGACAGAATAATCACATAATGGGATTATTAATACGATCTGTAAATAAAGATAGCAAAGATATTACAATCCTGCTAACGCGGCAGCTGATGAATGAAAACGAGAAGTGTGCGTATTCAAGAGCTACCGTCAGAGTGCCACGCGAGCAGGAAACCGAAAAGGTTACGGAAGATCAAGGTCGAATTTAAACAATAATTTTACTATCAATAATGGTAACTGCTCAAGTTATGTAAAGCCATGAAAAAGAAACGAATAACAACAAAAATCACTTGCAAAATAAGTTCGTGTTAAGTATCTCCACATACTTCGACGGTACAGCTCCCTCTTTACAGTCAAAGACTTATCTTGTACAAAATAAATTACAATGCAGACAAAAATGGTTAATAAGTCTAGCTGTTAGGTATCTGACAATCAACAGGAATATTTCCAAAAAACGGGGTTGAATTTCTGTCTGCAAGCAGACAATCAGAGAATACTAATCACCGACCACTCCATGTTTTAACCTTGAGTTAAATCAAACAACAACTGATTGTCAGTGGTTCGGACCGAGAAATATAAATACATGGTTGAACATACGAAGAAAAAGGAAATATTTAAGAAATAACAATGACTTTAAATAAAACACTTTGAAGGGTTTTTCAAAGCATTCATTCCGTCACAGTTCTGCCTGGTCAGTCAATATCAATACATGATGGTAGACTTAGTTATGAGTTAGCTGTTATAATTCCAGTCGTCTCCAAGATGCTGACTTATATGCTTTGTACAATCACTTAAAAAAGCAATACAACCTAGGTATAACGTTGAATTTCCAAATCGACCGTTAGTGAATTTTGGACCACAAGGTTATATACCAGTATCCCGACTGTGAAAGCAAATATAGTGGTAGCATTAACAAAGTGACAGTATCATCTGGAAATTTAAATTTGAATATTTTCAAGCACCAGATTAGATAAGCTTAACTATTATGTCACAAGGGTGCTTAACAGCTGCACTGTACCATTAAAAATCAATAGCACGTCCCATCCTGACAAACGATTTTCACTAGAACTCGAATTTATAGCTTAACACCATATTAGTCCAGTTCTATAATCGATCAACTGTATGCACTATGATGCCTAATGCAAGGTTTTGGAGTTAGTATTTCACCACGCTGGATAAAAAAAGTTTCTGATAGCCAATTGAATTATTGATGGTTTTATCTAAACTTGGCCATAATTCTTATCTGCAAACGTACGTATTAGTCAATAAAAGTAATCAGAATATCAACGTGCTACTTGATGCACATCTAGAATACATTTATACGGTAATGTATGTAGATGACAAATTACAATATGTATAATGTAAATAATATTTATGGTTGACTTGTCCAAGGAACGAAATGATGTACTGCTGGTAGAAGAAATATGCCGTAATTTTCTTCTCGTATTGCACAACCTAATGTTTGACTTCATCTCTATTTCCAGTGATGGCACACTAGATAATACAGAATTGAACAGAAATCGTTTCCAAATATCTCCTAAATATTTTCCCTAAAGACAAAAGAGGAAGAAGACAATGATATTTTGGAAAAAAATTATCTATACTTGTGGACAGTGGTAGCGTAACGTGAAGCACGATAACTAACTATCTGGAGGAAGTAGACGGTATCGCTCCTGGTTCATACCGTGATCTGTCAGCAACTGATTGATCAAGCGCTTTCAGCTAGTAGTGTCCATAAAGACTAATGATGTCAAGTATTTATAAAACTTTGTTTTGGGGAAGTATCTAACACCATAGCTCGTGACCTGTTAGTAGGGTAGTGAGAACTATTAAAAAACACTAGTGATTACCACGAAATCCAGATGTCATAGGTAGGTTAATAAATCCTCAGTTGTCAGTAAATATAAAGTATTGTTGGAATATCGGCAAACGATAGACCGTCACATCACTGTGGATTCTGAAATAGTTAGAGCTCATCGAACTGTAAATCATGTTTGGTCACATAAATCAGACAAAACTTCTGACATTTTTTATATTTTTCAACTACTATATACTTTACTTTTCAATCGAATCCTAACGTTTGAAATCAATAAAGGTGAAAACGTTAGTCAAAACGTATTACCATAACATATAATTAAGTCGAACAAACAAACGCTTGGTGTACTTGTAAAAAAACCAGTGTATATTGGATATCTCAAAACTCGGATTATAAACAAACTTCTGGATATATTCTCATACAACTCTGTCGCTTATATTTCTAGTTAACCATGCACTGCATATCAAGGTAATTAGAGAAAATAAAAGTCACTTGAAAACACAAAATAAATAAATGATTCAATAAATATAAGTCAAAGAATTGTTGAATGCGTCAACGGTGAACAAATTCTAACCATTACTAGGTATTTAGAGATAGATCCCAACTAAATACAAAGACCCAGTGTCTTTGGTAGTCACCCATAGTCAGAACAGTCCAGTGAGTTCTCTGATTGTAGAACCTGATGGTAATATCTTCAGTCTTTTTAAGACCATTAGTCTGTATATGGTATGCGATAAGTACTGATGAGTCCTAATTTCGGTTTGAAACATGTTCGTTGTCTGGTTAGGTATAGTATAATATCATTTTACATCACTTAGTTATGCTTTAAAATTGTATACAACATTCACGAATTCTACCTATTGCTAAAGACTGGAATTGTAGCATACTTTATAAGCAATTAACAGTATTTATTCCAAATTTTAGAGATAATTCCTGATCAAAACCCAAATGGATTATGAATGGATATAGGAATTGGCTACATGGTGAAGTTCTTCGTATACGTCCTGCATATCAGCTTCAGAGTAATGTGTTTGATTTTGAGATTGTTGACTGATATACCTCAGTAAATAATTTAGCCTTTTAAAGTATATAAATTACCACTGAGCGACATAGTTGAACTTGCAATCCAGTCGTGCCTATTTTCAACATATGATTCGTATAGTGACTCAGATTATATTGTAAATTTAAAGAAGATCATGAATTCTTATCAACAAGGCAGTGTATGTATGGTTATTTTTACCTAGTTTCACAAAATTTTATGTAACAAGAATTTATGGAGACAAGGTAATGTAATAGTAATATGATTCAATATCCTAAATATAGATATATTAAGCATAATTTGTAAGGATATAGGTATCTTGATAAATAAACGTCGAGCTACTTCAGAAAAAATATGTTAAAGCATCTGAAAAATTCAAGTGTGTTTGAGTTAACTCTTAACATGTCCAAATTAATTCTAAATATCAGTTACTGAATATTTATCAGTTAAATATAAACCAGTCAATTAGTAACGACATAGAATATTCTTGCTGAATGATTTGTTTAAAGTCCAATTTCTTCCCATTTACTGTACAATAAAGCTTTTATGATAAGTTTCAGTAACTAGAAAATTAACTTCAGTGTTTTGAACTAACGCAATATTTTTAGACATCTCAACTAAACAGTTATCATTTTCTCACTATTGTCATGTTCATCCAAGCGGATTCAAAAAAACCTGATATGAAGTTGAAAGAACTGTTGTTCAAGCATTTTGAGAGTGAGCCAATTACGCATTAATAGAATTCTCTTATTGTTATACTGCATCATGAAAACAACACTTTCACAATGTAAAAGAATGATCATAATCAATGATCTATCTATATAAAAGATATTTGAAAGTTTTGCTCTACCTCAATGCTTACTTAAAACTATTAATAAAACACTATCCAAACTTGTCATATCAGAGGGGCACACATGTGGTGATTTTCACTAATGAGTTTGTTTACTGAAAAAGGTTTCTTATCAGTTGAAATAGTCACTACAAAGTTTCATGATTCTAAACTGTATTATATGATCCGTCAGAACTATTTAACTAATTTAGCTATTTAAATTTCAGATTATTCTTTCAATTATGGATGTTATATAACACTTCAGAGAATAGAATATATACATATTATTTTCTTGCCACATATTTCTTTCAACAACAAAAAAAAAACAACTTAATATCATCCCATCTTCAATAAACTAATAATGCCAGAAACAGTTGAAATTCAATCAGTTCATAGAAAAAGATTCTATCTTTGCCTAAAGGTAAACAGGATAATTTCAATCATTTATTTACATTCTATAGTCCTATTTTCTCTTGTTGTTGTTGTCTTTTTTTGTATACATGTGTTTCATATTTCATAAATGTTGGTCAACAATAATAAGGGGGGGGTTAATTTATCGAAAGAACAAAAAGTGTAGAAGTGAGATAGGTAGAGAATGACAGACAGACAGAGAGCGAGAGAGAGGTGTGAATATGATTAATAAAAATATATTCCAGGGGACATTAATAGTTTTTTTTTACTTTAATTTCACCTAAAAACACAAATTTGTTAATTACGTTCGACAGATTGTACACTCAATCAAACATTTAAGTGGGGCATTTTTAATTTTCTTACTGCTCATCTCATTAATACTTCAGTTTTTTTTTGTTTTTCTTGAAAAAATACTAAATAAGTCACCCGATGCTATTTTCTTTTCTGCAAATGACAAATTCTTAAGCCACATAAACAAACAATTAAACACATTAATATTAACTGTTCAATGGGATCAACTGTTAAGTATAGATAATAACTTATAAATAGTGGCTAATTTTCACTGAAAAATTTTCATTAGAAAATTATTCAATTATATAGATATTGGAGTTAATATTTACACTAGGATATTACTACTTATTAGTGTTATAAGTAATATTGTTAAAGTAAAGCAGTTTGAACATACAATTAGTAAGAAAAGAAAAAAAAAACAATAGTTATGGATACACGTAATGATGAATTATTAATAGACGACCATGAATCTATACTATTCCAAGACTATCATTATATGAATCATATAAATCCAGATTGTAAATTTTACACACATCAAAATCAACACCAACATTCAGACAATCCGTTACATCGTTATCGTACAAAATGTGAAACTATGCAAAATAATTTATTGATGTTCAATAGATCAAATTTTTTTGAAAATCATGATTATTTCAATCTGGGATTAGAAGATAACACATTTCGTTTACAGAATACCCTAGAAAATATGAATTTCTCACTTCAAAATAATGATACCAGAATATGTAACACTGAATTATTTGATATCAATGATAATTTGAAAACAAGTCATGATGATATACTCAACATAACTAATGAATCATGTTCAGAATATATTCATAATGTTTATAATAAAGATTTCCAATCTGTTGCTAAGGTACGCGAAAGACGAAGAATGTTCAGTATTAATTCAGCGTTCGAAGTAAGTTCGTCACGTATATATTAAATAAAGTATTCCGTATATATTCATTAAACAGAACATCCCCTAGTATAATGTTTAAATACATTTGTAAATGATATTGGAATAGGTAATTTATTATTAAAGACAAAAAAAACTGACAATGTGTTTATATGAATTTGTTCTTTTTATTTGTTTTGATATAAGAGATTTTGTTGATCTAATATTTACTCAATTACTTTAGCCTTAGTCTAAAATGATTATAGTCCTGATTCACAGATACTTTTAACAAAACAATAGGGTAATTAAGCAAACTTTATTATTCAGTCTCAGAAGTTCTAAACTAACATCGAACTTTGCTTTCAGAATGTCGTCTTTAAACAAAATTTCGCAGTGGAACAAAAAGTTGTTATATATAGATATTACCAATGATTTGTTTCGAAATTATTGTAAATGTAATAAGTTTAAGCATTTGCTATGTGTGACTTGATGAAAACTAGTGAAATTATTGTTATATCTAGAGCTTTGGATTCTTGCTATGCCGCGTACTACTAGACTATTAAACGATCGAACCCGCAACGTCGCAAGAGAGAAGACAAAAGACTAGTAAGTAGGAATGTTTTTCCCAACACAGTGTCAAATACAGTACGAAAATCTCATGCATTTATAGTTTTTTGATTGAAAGTAAATCATCATTTCGGACAGCCAATAGGCGCACATGGGGTCCTTTTTATTCATCCAATAGTGGGGCTACACGTCGACATTCTTGAATGTTCCTCTAGCGGTGATTGAATGGAATGTCTTCGGCTCTTTCTGGGCTTCTTGAGGCTTCCTTGAGTTTATCAACGATCCATCCTTACAATTATATTAAACTATTAGTTTAAAAAAGAGAAGGTGCAACACACTCTTAGTATTCTTTACTTAATGTATTCAAATTTACCATAGTTTATTATTCACTTACTTTAATTCAATTCAGAAAGTATTTTAAAATAAACATTAAAGTTTTAAATTATAATGCATAGTTTTCATATTTATTTAAACTAGTTTATCATCACATAAAATACTACTTAGAAAACTTAACAGTAAATTGAAACGTACCATTATGATAACAAACAAGTTATATGTATGACAATATTGTTCTGTAGAGGATAAAAGAATAATTAAATGTAATTTAAAAAGAATCTTTCTTGATTCATCATATAAATAATTAAAATCATATAAGTAATAAACCCCTAATACATATAATCTAACATAAATAATGGTAAGTTACATGTGTATTTATATATTACCAATTTAATTTGTTCACTTAGTATTGTTTGTTTGAATCTTCCCATTGATGCTTAGAACTGCAACTGGTCAGTCTCTTATTGGCCATATGTGCATACTGTGCGTATTGCCTTGATATGGCCTTCATTCACGAGCATGATAAGCAAACATGGATATTGGCTAGCAGTGGAATCCAGTATGACGCGCGTTTCGTCCTATTTGGGACTCGTCAGCTGGATGTACCTGCATCTCAGGGTTGATGTTCACTCTGAGACTGAGTGGATAACGCGATGGCGTTTGAAGCCAAAGATACTGGGTTCGAGTCCCAGAGTGAACATCAACCCTGAGATGCAGGTACATCCAGCTGACGCGTTCCAAATAGGACGATACGCGCGTCATACTGGTTTCCATTGCTAGCCACTAACCATCTTTGCACATAATGGAAACTGTTGTTTTATCATTTAGATATTTTTTAGTGATACAAAATGAGATGAAACAATCACAGAATATATAAATATGTAGATTGTTCTACTTGAATGATTTTTATTTATTTTCTTCAGAATTTTTTTTCTGGCAAATATCTAAAGTTACCTATGAAGTTCATTATACAGATCTTCGCTAGATACATTAATTATTTTAGTTTTCCATAAACTAACAAAATTTTCGTTTTTAAATCTCATTTCAACTCACAATTATCCTTTAATAAACGTTCCATATCACAATATTATTTCAAAATTTCAGACGTGAATATCAGATAAATATTAACATTTAGATAAGATTAATCACTTTGAATGACTTATTGATTCGTTTGGAAACGTAGGAGTCTATAGGTTAAAACATTCAATTGAACACTCCCTCCTGAAACTTACAAATGAATAAGTTAATTATTACTCAGAAATTTATTTATGAGAAATATGTTTTACTGTTTGTTTTGAATTGTTTTTCCTTTTGATTAGGCTTTAAGATCATGTTTGCCAACATTCCCGTATGAAAGACGAATATCTAAGATTGATACATTACGACTTGCTATTGCGTATTTGGCATTGTTGAAAGACTTATTAGCCAACATGGAAATAATGAATGCAGAACAAAACATAGAAAGAGGTCAGCTAGTGATACAGTTCATGATTAACCGGCTAAATTCATCTCAAAGACACCAACTTAGTTGGTATACAAGTGGTAAGTATGAACAATTTCATACCTTGAAATTTATTTTAACAGATATTGATAAATAGAGGTCACAAAGTAGGGTTTTAGAGACTGAAATAATAAGCGTATTTTGGGTTGTTATAATGATGAATAGAATGCTGCTCAATAGATAATACATGATAATTTAATAGCTTGCACACGAAGGAATTGATATCGAAAAACAACACAAATGACTGAGAAAACTATTTTTTTAGTAAAATGACATGCCAATTTACAAAACATTAAGCGTGATTAGTGACCATTTAAAACATATGCACTTGGAACATAAGGGTATTGTTTATCAATATTGAAACAATGAAATTAGGATCCAGCTTTTATGTATTATTTTTGCTGTTTGGATCAATAGAACAAGGCTATAAAAAAATGGGAGAATTTTCACAACAATCTATCTTAAAAATATGATTGTTATTTGTTACAGATCCTAATGTTTGATGAATTATATTCTCACTGCCACTATCGTGTGTGCTACTGATGTAGATAGATATAAGTAGTACGTATCATGAATTGAAAGTGAAATACCTGGTCGTAGAAGGTTAAGAAGATCACAGAAAAGAGAACGACAATAAAGAATGATTGCTGTATAAATGAAAGAACAGTGAAGTCTGAGACAATTGATTGACATTTTGCAAATGAAGTATTTACTGTATGCTTCTCAGATTGTACTAAGAGCTTCTCTAATTTTTTGTTCAATTACATTCAAATGTTCCCACTCGTGTTAACGTTCACTACATCACTTGATAAATAAAAATTATGTCATGATTCATGAGTAAAAATGTTTTAAATCCAAATTTAAGAAGATTTTAGCATAAATTACTCCAAACTGAACATCATAATAAATGCATCAAACTAGAATATTGAAGAAAAACACTACAATATTATGTCAGGTTTGTGAAATTCGGAATCTATGTAAAATCCATAGATATATCAAATGACTAACGTAACTGGAGCATTTGTTTCAAAAAGTGTATTTTTAAGAGTAGATTGTTGAAGAAACACCGTTTACTTTTATCAAAAAAAAGCTATTTTGTAATCACTATATAGTTTCCGTTGACAACGTCCTGCTTAAACATTTAATGTGATTTAAATTATACCTTCTATTTATTTGAATGATTTCTTGGAAATTCTGAAGAATCTAATAGTACTTACTTACTTACTTTCGCCTGTTACTCCCAATGGAGCATAGGCCGCCGACCAGCTTTCTCCAACCCACTCTGTCCTGGGCCTTCTTTTCTAGTTCTTTCCAGTTCTTGTTCATTCTTCTCATGTCTGTCTCTATTTCTCGGCGTAATGTGTTCTTTGGTCTTCCTCTTCTCCTTCGACCTTCAGGATTCCATGTGAGGGCTTGTCTTGTGACACAATTGGGTGATTTCCTCAAAGTGTGCCCAATCCACTTCCAGCGCTTCTTCCTGATTTCTTCCTCCGCTGGAATCTGGTTTGTTCTCTCCCACAGTAACTTGTTGCTGATAGTGTCTGGCCATCGGATCCGAAGTACTTTGCGTAGACAGCTGTTAATAAACACTTGTATCTTCTGGATAATGGCTTTCGTAGTTCTCCACGTCTCTGCCCCATACAGAAGAACTGTCTTGACATTTGTATTGAAAATTCTAACCTTGGTGTTGGTTGACAATTGTTTTGAGCTCCAGATGTTTTTCAGCTGTAGGTATGCTGCTCTTGCTTTGCCGATCCTCGCCCTCACATCTGCATCTGATCCACCGTGTTCATCAATGATGCTGCCCAGATATGTAAAGATTTCCACATCCTCCAAAGCTTCTCCGTCAAGTGTAATTGGATTGGTGCATATTGTATTGTATCGGAGAGTCTTGCTTTTCCCTTTGTTTATATTGAGACCTACTGCTGCTGAGGCTGCTGCTACACTGGTCGTTTTCTCCTGCATTTGTTGTTGCGTTTGTGATAGAAGAGTCAGATCATCCGCGAAGTCTAAATCGTCAAGCTGCATCCTGCCTGTCCACTGTATCCCGTGCATTCCTCCAGATGTTGACGTCTTCATAATCCAGTCGATCACCAGGAGAAAGAGAAAGGGTGAGAGTAAGCAACCTTGCCTTACACCAGTCTTTACCTCGAACGAGTCGGTGAGTTGTCCTCCGTGGACGATTTGGCAGTTTAGTCCATCATAGGAGTTCCGTATGATATTTACTATCTTCTCAGGCACGCCGTAGTGTCGAAGAAGCCTCCATAGTGTCGTCCTGTCCACGCTATCAAATGCCTTCTCGTAGTCGATGAAGTTGATGTACAGTGATGAATTCCATTCGATTGATTGTTCCACAATGATACGTAGAGTTGCGATTTGATCTGTGCACGATCTATCCTTACGAAATCCAGCTTGTTGATCTCGAAGTTGAGCGTCCACGGAATCCTTCATCCTGTTTAACAATACTCTGTTGAAGACTTTTCCTGGTATTGAGAGGAGAGTGATGCCTCTGTAGTTGTCGCACTTGCTCAGATCGCCTTTCTTTGGTATCTTGATGAGAAGTCCTTCTTTCCAGTCTGTTGGTACATGTTCTTCGTCCCAAATCTTACCGAAGAGGATGTGGAGTATCTTGGCAGTTGCTGTTACATTTGCTTTCAGTGCCTCTGCCGGGATGTTGTCTGGTCCCGCTGCTTTGCCACTCTTGATTTGTCTAATGGCCATGCTGATCTCTTCAATTGTTGGTGGGCCAATATCGATTGGGAGGTCTGTGGGTGCTGCTTCGATGTTGGGTGGGTTCAGTGGAGCTGGTCGATTCAAGAGTTCTTTGAAGTGTTCTACCCACCTGTTCCGTTGTTCTTCAATATCGTTGATTACTTTGCCTTCCTTGTTTTTCACTTGTCTTTCTGGTTGACGGTAATTTCCAGCAAGTTTCTTTGTTGTATCATACAGTTGTCTCATGTTTCCCTCTCTTGCAGCCTTTTCCGCTGTCATCGCTAAATCTTCCACATATTTACGTCGGTCGGTCCTGATGCTCCTCTTCACTTGCTTGTTTGCCTCTGTGTATTCGGCTTGTGCCTTGGCTTTTTCTGCTCTGGTTCGGCTGATATTGATTGCTACCTTCTTGTTCCTCCTTGCTTCAATTTTATCCAGTGTACCAACAGTGATCCATTCCTTGTGATGGTGCTTCTTTTGGCCCAGAACCTCCTGACATGTTGAAACGATTGCCTTCTTGATACCTTTCCAGCTGCTCTCTATGGTGGTTCCCTCTTCATTGAGTAGGTTATGAAAGGCCTGGAACCTGTTGCTGAGGGCTATGTTAAATTCGTTGAGTTTGTCAGCATCTCGAAGAAAGGCCGTGTTAAACTTTTGTGATGTTGTCCGCGCCATTGTCCAGTGCTTCTTGAGTTTTAGTTTCATCTTGGCGACCAGCAAATGGTGATCGGATGCTATATCAGCTCCTCTTCTGGTTCTCACATCCTCCATCGTCCTCCTGAACTTTTTGTTGATGCAGACATGGTCGATTTGATTCTGTGTAGTGTGATCCGGTGAAATCCAAGTGGCTTTGTGTATGTTTTTGTGTGGGAATATGGTGCCACCTATGACCAGTTTATTGAAGGCACATAGGTACTTTTCATTAAAAACCGACATCATTTTGAATGTTGAAAAATTATGAAGATATTGGATACTTGTTTTATCTCACTATGGGAATACTCAACAAAGTATAAAGACCATTTGTAGAGGGTTGAAGTCAAAAATGTTACATCTGGTGACACTTACAATGTAGAAAATCAATCACTCTGTAGAAATTTAGCTTTCCATAATTTTTTATTTCGGTCACTTTGCAATATCGAACAATTATCAGTGTTGCTGTTCAATTACTTCCTCATTTTTATCTAAATTTCCTGAGCAAGTTACTACTTTAAACTACGCGAAATCCTCGCAAGAAAAATATCTTCATAAGTAATAATTTTGTATTTAACCATTTATTAACCATGATAAACATATATAAAGTTACCAATGGAATGTCTTGATCTGTACAGTCGTTCATTCGAATAACTCTACTGATAATAGTAAATAAAAATAAATCTAAATCATTAATTGGCTGATATTTAAAGTATCATACGTTCTCATTATATGTGAAAATTATATTTGAAATAATCTCAGCGATTGAAATTTGAATAATTCCAACGTTTCGTCCAGCTAACCTGTCTGGACTTCTTCAGCGTAATAATCAAAACCAAAATTATCAAAGAAATGTATAGTGTTTTTTAGCAATCATATCAAAATCTATATATTTCTTTGATGACTTTGGTTTCCGTTATTACCCTGAAGAATTCCAGACAAGATAGCTGGACGAAACGTTGGAATTATTTAGATTTCAATCGTTGAGATTATTTAAAATGTAATTTTCATATATAATGACTTCTCTATACTTACTTACTTACTTACTTACGCCTGTTACCCCTCTTCGAGGAGCATAGGCCGCTCACCAGCATTCTCCATCCAACTCTGTCCTGAGCCTTCCTTTCCAGTTCTTTCCAGTTACTATTCAGCCTTTTCATATCGGCTTCTATTTCCCGGCGTAGTGTGTTCTTTGGCCTTCCTCTTTTCCGCTTCCCTTCCGGATTCCAAGTTAGGGATTGAGTCGTGATGCACATTGGTGATTTCCGTAATGTATGTCCGATCCACTTCCAACGTCTTTTCCTTATTTCCTCTTCAGCTGGAAGCTGGTTTGTCCTCTCCCATAAAACGCTGTTGCTGATAGTATCCGGCCAATGGATGTTGAGTATTTTGCGTAGACAACTGTTTATAAATACTTGTACCTTCCTGATGATGGCTGTAGTAGTTCTCCACGTTTCAGCTCCATACAGTAGGACTGTCTTGACGTTCGTATTAAAGATTCTGACCTTGAAATTGGTTGAGAGTTGTTTTGAGTTCCATATGTTCTTCAATTGTAGAAATGCTGTTATTGCTTTGCCAATCCTCGCCTTTACATCTGCATCCGATCCTCCTTGTTTATCAACGATGCTCCCCAGGTACTTGAATGTTTCCACCTCTTCCAGAGTTTCGCCATCAAGTGTGATTGGGTTGGTGTTCTCCGTGTTGCATTTGAGAATCTTGCTTTTTCCTTTGTGAATGTGGAGGCCTATCGATGCGGAGGCTGCTGCTACATTTGCTGTCTTCATCTGCATTTGGTCGTGTGTATGAGAGAGGAGGGCTAGGTCATCTGCGAAGTCCAAATCATCTAATTGATTCTGAGAAGTCCACTGTATTCCGTATTTCCCTTCAGATGTCGAATTCGTCATAATCCAGTCAATCACTAGAAGGAAGAGAAATGGGGAGAGTAGACAGCCTTGTCTGACTCCGGTCCTTACTGGAAATGCATCTGTCAGCTGTCCTCCATGCACCACTTTGCACTGTAATCCATCGTATGAGTTTTGGATAATGTTGACGATCTTCTGAGGAACTCCATAGTGTCGAAGAAGTTTCCATAATGTTCTCCTATCCACGCTGTCAAACGCCTTCTCATAGTCGATGAAGTTGACGTATAGTGATGAGTTCCACTCAACTGATTGTTCAACGATGATCCGTAGTGTCGCAATCTGGTCTGTGCACGACCGATCCTTACGGAATCCAGCCTGATGATCCCTAAGTTCGGCGTCTACTGCGTCTTTCATCCGATTCAGCAGCACTCTGTTGAAAACTTTTCCTGGTACTGATAACAAACTGATGCCTCTGTAGTTCTCACATTGGCTCAGATCTCCTTTCTTTGGTATCTTGATGAGATATCCTTCTTTCCAGTCCGTTGGCACTTGTTCCTCTTCCCAAATCTTTTTGAATAGAAGGTGAAGCATGTTTGCAGTTATTTCAATGTCTGACTTCAGTGCTTCTGCTGGTATATTGTCAGGTCCTGCCGCCTTCCCACTTTTGATTTGTCTGATGGCCATCTTGACTTCTTCGATCGTTGGTGGAGTGACATCTATTGGAAGGTCAGTGTGGGCTGCTTCGATGTTCGGTGGATTCGATGGGGCTGGTCTATTCAGCAGTTCCTCAAAGTATTCTGCCCATCTTTTCCTCTGTTCCTGAATCTCAGTGATTGTCTTTCCTTCTTTGTCTTTGACTGGTCTCTCTGGTTTGCTATATCTCCCTGCCAATTTCTTCGTTGTATCATATAGTTGTTTCATATTCCCTTCTCTTGCAGCTTTTTCCGCCGCCGTTGCTAGTTCTCCCATGTATTTCTGCTTGTCGGCTTTAATGCTTTTCTTCACTACTCTGTTTGCTTCTGCGTAGTCTGCTTGTGCTTTGACTTTCTCTGCTCGTGTTCGGCTGTTGTTAATTGCTAGTCTCTTGTTCTTCCTTTCTTGAAGTTTGTCCAGGGTCCCCATAGAGATCCATTCCTTGTGATGATGCATCTTAGGACCAAGAACCTCCTGACACGTTGAAGTTAGTGCTTCTTTTATCCCTTTCCAGTTGTCCTCCAAAGTAGTTTCTTGTTCATTCAGTAGATCCTGTAGAGCTTGGAACCTATTGTTGAGAGTTATCTTGAATTCATGGAGTTTGTCAGTATCTCGAAGGAAGGCTGTATTAAACCTTTGTAGTGCTGTTTGTCCAGTTGTCCAGTCTTTCTTTAGCTTCAGTCTCATCTTGACCACAACCAGGTGGTGATCTGAAGCTATGTCAGCTCCTCTCCGGGTTCTCACATCTTCCATTGATCTTCGGAATTTTTTGTTGATACAGATGTGATCAATCTGGTTCTCTGTGGTGTGGTCCGGTGAGATCCATGTAGCTGTGTGTATGCGTTTGTGTGGGAATATTGTGCCGCCTATAACCAATTTGTTGAAAGCACATAGGTTTGCAAGTCTCTCCCCATTTTCATTTCTCTCTCCTAGTCCATGTCGTCCAATTACATCTTCATATCCTGTGTTGTCCACTCCAACTTTAGCATTTAGATCTCCCATAAGGATGGTGAGGTCCTTTCGTGAGCACTTTGCTATAATTGATTGCAGCCTTTCATAGAACTGATCTTTATCATCGTCGTTGCTATCATTGGTGGGTGCATAACATTGGATAACGTTCATTGTGATCCCTTGTTTCTTTGTTCTGAATGATGCTTTGATTATCCTGGGTCCATGAGATTCCCATCCCACAAGTGCATTTCGTGCTTCTCTGGACAGCATTAGAGCAACTCCCTGAGTGTGTGGAGCGTTTTCCCCTTCGTGACCGGAGTACAGCAGCATCTCTCCTGTACCTAGCCTTTGTTGTCCAGTTTGTGTCCAATGGGTTTCGCTGATTCCGAGTACTGCCAAGTTGTATCTCCTCATTTCCATTGCTATTTGGCTGGTCTTTCCTGTTTCCCACATTGTCCGGACGTTCCATGTACCTATAAAGAGTGTTGCTCTGGTTGTTAGAAGGTGCATCGGTCTCGTGACTTCCGAAGAATTTCGGCTTTCATCATGAGACGTCATTATTCCTTCAACTCTCAGGGCAGAGTTTAAATGGTTTGGATTATTTTTTCTGGTTAGCGTTTTTTTAGCGAGTTAGCTTTTCTACGGGATGGGGTCGCTAACCCCATGCCCAACCCTCCTCCTTTACCCGGGCTTGGGACCGGCAGTAACTCTAGAAGAGCTACAGGCGGAGTTTTCTCTATACTCGGCGCCTAATTTTTTGTCAAGCTATTCGTTCTAATCTTGACGAATATTCGTACATATTATGCATTTTATTTTAACGTAGCAAATGTACACTATAATTCCCTTCATACTTTGATATATTTTATTTTCTTCCAATAAGTTGAATAAGACGAAATGTTCATTCATCAACATTATTTCTTCAGGCTTCTTTATGACTGAAAAAAATGGGATACACTACAAATTTCTATAATATATAGATCAACTTTATCATTTTTTCACTTACTAATTTATAAAAAATATTTCTCTAGATTTAATTGCACGTCTAAATTGGATACGTTGGGATCGACTTGGTTATTGTGGTACAATCGACTGGTCATCTTCAATTCATTCTGACTGTTATCAGTAAATAAAGAAATCATCTGTACTTCATCCTGTTATTTTATTGTTTTATTATTTAACTTAATATTTAAAACTTACTTCATTCAACAACAAAAAAACTCGACGAAGTACTGTTGAAAATCAACGCATAATACCCTTTCCCTTGAAAAAATTAAAAGTGTGTTCGTTTCATTTAACTTAGTTCAATTTTTATAAACATGTTTTCTTTTTTTTAACCTTCCTTGTAACAACTTGTTCCATTAAAAATAAACACTTATAATCCTCAAAAATTTAATTCCATTGGCGAACTCTTAACTAGAGCAGCAGTTACAAGGTCTTTTTAGAATTAAATTTTTATTGAAATAAAGATATAATAAAGATTTGGAAAGAATAGTATGAATTCAGTTTACTTGATTGGGTTCTCGTCAACTACCTGTAATTTGTAATATGGAAAAATAAAATATTGTGCGGAAAAACATTCCACAATATTGATGATAACAAAATACTGAAGAATTACAAGCGAGTGGATAAGTAATGAACAAACGTTAACGGTAAGTAAGAATAAAATGAATAGACCTCTGTTGGTTTACCTAAGCGTTTACTATCAAGCTTCAGAAATGTAGCTTATATGTTCAAAAGAAGATGGTTGCTAACCTTTCTCTATCTTGGTGACAAAAACGTTTCTTTGTTACATCATGAAATTTTGTTCAACTCTTTCAAGTGATTGTATTCCTACGTCCATTTTTAAAATCTTCTAGATTACCGACTTTATTTTAACTAACTTTGCTTATTCTATCCTTATTTACTATTAACATTCGTTCATTACCTGACCATCTGCTTGTAATTCCTTAGTATTCTGTTATTATCAATATTGTGGAATGCTCTTCCGCACAATATTTCATGTATTCTCTTCACCCGATTTACATTCTTCTTACACTACACTGTTCTATGTTCACAATACTTTTCAACTGAACTCATTTATTTAAGTTATTTTAACTCATTCTGTAATATTAATTTTTACACATTACAAGTGGTAAGCAGTTGACGAGAATTCAATGAATTAAACTGAATTCATGTTAGTCTACCCAAATCTTTGTTCTTACTTTCCTCAATATGATAAAGGCGACTGTGTGTACGAAAGATAAAATAGTTGTATTGGTGTGTAAATTTACTGCGGTTAGGAATAACTGTTGATTGATCGCCAGTTGAGGCTTCAAATGATCGAAACAAGGACAAATATGCTGTATAGTTCTTAAAAGATTCATCAATACCATCTGAACAAATAATTGTGTTTCGTGGAACAGTATTGCTTAATTATAAAGAGTTTGAATTATTTCGTCGGTAATGTTCCGTATCGAATTTCGATCAGTCTAAAAATAACGATATAAGTATCATACCAGTTATTCAGGTGAGTGAGTGGACTAGAATTAAATGGATAACGCACTGGTTTTGTTTCCCTATGTGAGCAACAACACGGATGCAGGTAAATAGATCGAAATGGTCCTAAGTAGGATGAAGAGTGCATCCTAGACTCTATTGCCAGCCATAATCTAAATATCCTATATAGTTTCGCGTAAGTTTTAGGATAAAATCACAACCTTCTAATGAACACCGCTCACTTGAATCTTGCAAACTAAGAATTTTTTAGGCTGAACATTCACTTATGAATTTTGATACACTATTTGCAGTAATCGGTGGTGATTTAAAAATTTACATATTAATGTGAAATTTTAAAGACAAGGCATAACTTTGATTCCAAGAGAACTGTTGCTTCATACAGGAGTTGGACTAAACCACTTGGAATCACAGTGGCATATGATACGAATACACAATCTAGTCCAGAATTAACGTGTGAAAATGAAATGCTTTACAATAGCTACTCCTTTGGCAGTAACTAACATCATGTTGTTTAGTCAGTCACTTTGTTGAATTCTACTAAATTGACATGTGGATACTCATTTAAATAACTGAGCAATAATACATACGAGGAAGTTCTACCTACATTCACATAATATATATCGTGTTGCTTTAAAGTAAAAGATTTAGGTGGTCCATTGAGCTACAGATCTTATGGTATTTGTGATTTATTGAGTTCCCACAATTTTAACAAATATTTTATTAGAAAAAATATGTGAATTCCAATGAGGGGATTTGTGGGAATTAACACAATTCTTAAATGGCATTTGTCATGGATTAGTCTTGGCTGGAGCACCATTAGAAAATAGGGACCACTGTGTCGACCTAATAGGGGACTTTCTCACAAGTACCGACATCGTGATATAATTGTTAGGTACTCACTGCCAGACTCGAAGCTCTTGAGTTTGATGCGCCAGGGGTTGTGGGTGAATATACTTAGCCTACGCTTGTTGATGAACTCAGTCGAAAAACCAAATACGAATGTACCCTTTCGGACACCAAACTTTCGTCACTTTGCAGATAAGCCCTCAGGGTAAAAGAAAATAGTTAGAATAGTTTCGTATGATATTTCGATTCACAGTGAGTGTATATTTAAATTTGCTAACTCTACGCATCTACCTAAACAGAGAAACAATAATTCCAATTAAGTGTTTTCTATTTTGCCTTGGAAACATTCTATATTAACATAATCTAAAAACTGCCGCGCTAGAATCGAACTATGAAATAGCTATTCACTCATTGTTGACTACAATCCTCGTAATAATAAACAATTTTATTAGCAAAAAGTAATTTTGCACTTCATTATTGTTACAGGACATGTATACTTATGGAAAAATAGTTGAAGATTTCTTTAACTGTAGTAATCAAATGATTTATTTCATTAAGAAGTAATTCAAACAAACTTTATTGTCATTACTAAGAACAACCACAATTTATGTTTACAAAAGGAAAATTGCTAGCACTAATATTCTCCATTTTATCATTTCGTTAATAAAAAGACTTTAAGGTTAGACTATTTAACCAAAAGTCATAAACTAGTCAATGAAACTCTAATGTTTAACATTGATTAATTTCATTAACAACTGATAGACTCATTTTGAGAGCATAAAATTTATTCCAGACTGCTTCGTAAAATACAAAAGACAAGTCTTACCTAAGCTTACCAATCGAATTATACATATTTATGATACAAATAAAATCATGTGAACGACTGCGTTTTAATTAAACAAACTAGATGGATGATAAGATGAATTCATCCAGCAAATTATGTCTAAGAAGAGCGAATATCAGAACATAACACTTGTACTTCTACTCAACAAAGTGTCAAACTTTGGAAATATTTTGGCCTACGTAAGATTACGACTGTAAAATGACTGAATGACCTACGCTAGTTGGACAAAAGGATAAACTATGCAATAACATTATTTAGGTTATGTAGAATAAAAATCTATAATCTGAAATACGCAAGCTTCTTAGTCATTAATCGACGGCCTAAGATGCTGAGGATCAATAAAGCCGCTTCCTGTCTATTCTTTTAATAAGTAAAATTTATTTAATAACATTGTGCACTTTGTTCCAGCAAACATTAAGAAATGCATCAGTACTATGAACTACGTTATTTATCTATCTTCTTCAAAATCCATAAATAAAGACAATATCCCCAGTTTTCTGTTTGTAGATTTGTTACAACCTTTTTATCTACAGTTTGAATAATCTTATCACATTATAAAAACGGTCCTTTATTATTTGTTTCAAATACTATCGTAAGCACATTTGAACACGTCACATGAATTCATTTATTGACGTAGTCACTATCTATAACTCAAACGTTTTAAAATACAAAGTAATAGTGTATCTTAATTTCATTCTTATAACAGGGAGTAAATAAACAGCAAAAATCATTAAGCCTGGTTACTCATCTGAAAATTTCAAAATAAAGAAACATAAATGTCAATAGCATCTAGAAATGTTTAATAGTATGACTGTAAGGAATTATTAAAATGGAGATAAAGCTAGCAAAATGAATATTCCTTGACAATTCAAACAAGAAAATGAACACTAACATCTCAGTTGTTCGATGATTAAAAGTCAAATGTATTGAACTTGCAAAAAGTAGTTAGGATAACCAGCGTGATTGATAAGTCATGATAACTTTAAAATGCTTTGCTTAACGCTTGAATTGTACGACAAAATTAAAGATGAGCGGCAACAAAACTACTGTTTGGGAAAACTTTGAGTAACTGCTAATTCCTTATATTGATTGAGTATTGAGAAATAACTAATACCAGGTCCTGATGGAATATTTCATGCCTTAGGTTTCAATGTTAGTTAGTTGGTAACAGTTGGAAAGAAACCCCAGACCTAGGTTTTATGCGAGATATCACTTGTCAGTAAGAGGTAGGTATGATATTGAGGGAACTGCCGATTTCGGTGGGATTGAAACTAGGGTAACTCACCTTCACGGTCTGAGATGCTAGCACTGACCAATCTGTGCTGCAACGAGCCTTTCAACATTTGGTAATTTTACACATTTAAACAGGGTAATTCAAAAAGGCTGCGTTCGTTTGATTACAAATAAATTATATATATATATATATATATATATATATATATATATATATATATATATATATATATATATATATATATATATGCAACCGATCACAATAACCGCTATTATCAAAGGTTTGTTAAATAAATTTCAATAAAATCACTCCCTTTCATTTTGTTTATTGCTTCTTGATTTACCGTATGACAGCTAGTCAATAAAAAATTATACAAAAAGAAGCCAACTAGAAATCATTTTCTGAGAACAAAATGTAAGGTCACACACAAAAGACCCGTTGTGCAAATCTAATTATCCAAGCTACGTTAAATTAAGGAGATTAAAAAAGGCAAAATAATTCCTTTAAGTTACAGAAGTGTTTCACCGACACTATTAGTTTCGTTGTCATGAATGGCATGAAAATAAATAAGTGATAAAAATAAAATGTACAATACATAAGTGATTATGTGGTTTGGTTGTTTTACTTAAAGATAAAAAACCGAAATATAAAACAGAACAATAGAAATACTAGTGTTTCATCAATTAAATGAATAAAATGCAAAAAAAGAAAAAGCAAATAATCCATATTATGGAGTCTGTTCACTTTGGCTTTATGCAATGAAATTTCTACCAAGTTGGTATTTAGATAAATAGCTAACATGCATGCAGATCATAAAATAAATGCTTGTAGATATTATTTATATTCAAGATAATGGTTTAGTAGTAAGTATACAACTAATAGGTATGATGGATTGACTAGGTTGTATGGTTCGCGGAGTAAATTCTAATGTTGGACTGGTAAAACTAAGAGTAGAACCAGGATGAATAGACATAATTGGGACTGGGAGGAACCCAGATACAGTAGTTAATGAACAAGGTGAAATTGTAGGTATAGTGATACATTCACTACTGTTTATTCGACTGCTGTTGTTATTATTACTGATACAATTATTAACAATAACAGTAGCAGCAGGAGTAGTAGTTATAACACCGGCTCTAAGAGTTTGTGATGAACTATGATCTGGTTGCTCTGTTTTATGAACGCGATCATTAAGAATTGTAGGAGTATGAGATTCACAAGTATTAATACTATGGTTATCAGACTCAGTGCTGCTATTAACTGCAGTAGATGATTTAAGAGGCAAAGATTTGATTGGTAAATCTGGAACAGTCCACACCCATTCTTCTCGTGTACTTAATGACCAAGGGCAAGAACGAGCACGCATAAACTCCGGGAGAAAAGCACGCAGTTCATCATTGACATGTGCATAAGCTACCTGTAATACAAAGAAATACGAATAGCAACAGTGTAGTTAATGAAAAAAAACTATTTTAAACCATTTTTTAAAGATAAATATATAAACAGGAATTAATATCACTGTAATAAAAACGTACCTGTGATTCAGTAAAACTAGTACCGCAACCAGAACAAATAAATTTCGTCCGCTTTTCCGGACCGTTTTCACCGGTAGATATTGGCTGGTAGCGAAGATGTAGTTCAATAGAACGGAATAGAGCAGCTTCTACACGTTTAGCATCTTTGTAGTGAACACCAGAACGTATACGCATACCATCAGAAAAGTATCGGCCTATTTGTCTTTTCACATGTTCTGTCAGTCGTCCATACTGTGTTAAATCATGTTCGATTTCCCCCTGTCAAATAAGCGGTAAATAAAACCAGATATGCAAAATATACTGAAGGAAATACGAACAATTAAACAATAACTTAAATTTTTCATCTTAAATCAAAATTCTGTAATGTCGGATAATCAATGGGTTTCCTATTTCTTTAATTGGTCACTCGCGAATTATCCGATTTTAAACCTAATTTTAGAAGACTGAATCTAGTCTAACTTTTTGATAACACACGAATAAGTATAAGGACGGAAGTAATAGAATGAAGTATTCCTATATATTTAATATATATAACTCAGTTTGTGCTGTTCAGAAGGAAAAATTAAAAACACCATTTATTCGTTGGAAGGAAAACGCAGACTATGTTTCCGATCATCTAATGTTCTATATATCAATTTAGAAAGCTGAGCTATATATATATATATATATATATATATATATATATATATATATATATGAAAACTCAAGGTCTAATTACCCGGTTTATCAAAATAACATGAAAATAAAGAGTAACGCTATCCCAAACAAAAATGTACGAAATTTTCACATTATAGATATTCCATAGCAGTAAACAATGCATTCCCTATCGTTTTTTGTGGCAACTGTTCTTATCGATAGTTAGTTGGTTAAAACTTCAACAGCAGTTGTTGCATTTCAAGAAGGCGTGAACGACGAGAAAATCAGCAAAGTATAAAAAGGTTGGTTTAACAGGAAAAATTGAGTTATTAAACGTAATTGAAAACAAACTATTGTGCGATTATTTATCTGCGCAGATAGTATATTCAATTAGCTAGAAAGTAAAGAAAGATATTTGTCACGAAAAAAGGTCTTAGTTGGTTTATTCGTCCTAAGAAGTCTGGGAAGTCGATTTAAAGAATCTGGATAATGAAAATGCACACTAAACTAAGATTGTTTACCAGAGTGCATTTAAATGTGTGGTAATTTGTATAAAAATTGATCAACTTACTGAAATTAAATGCCTTGTGACTGCATGAAAAACTACTTCAGTACGACCACTATATATAAATCGCCTACACACTAAACATATAAACTTCTTATCAGATCGTGTAATCAGCTTCGACCAATCTTGCCAAACTACACGAGGTTGTTTGCCCGGAACATGTCGACTAGGTTTTAGAGAAACAGTCGATGTTTGGTTAGAATCTGAAGAAATAAGGTTGGTCTGAGTGACAGAAGGCATACCACAAGTCAAACTAGAGCATAATTTGTCATTACTACCAATAGAGGGTGCACTTTTAGAACTGCGTTCTTTTTTTTCTGGAGATGTATTAGACTGAACTTCCTCACCTTCGTAATCTGACTCACTGGAACAGTGGAAGTCATCGTCGTCACATGAACCTAGTACAATACGCTGAGCCATGACCGCAGACTTGAAGCAATTAAAAAGACGAAAAAAAAAGAATGAGGAACCGCTACTTCAAATATAATAAAAAACTGTGACTTCTCATTCTCTAACAAACTTACACAAATGAAGTACGAACTTAATTTATCATATCGAATGGCGTGTATTATTCGTTGTCAATATTCAGAGATGTTGTTGCTCTACCACAATAAGGTGCATTTTACGTAGAGCTGTTAATCAGGTTTTGTATAATGTTTTTTTTTTGCTTAAACTTTAAGTTGGCTCACCTTATTTAGTCAAATTTCCAATTTTAAAAACCTGTCCTTAAAACTTATTAGCTTTAAAAATAGTATCATTAGTTTGTTCTGAAGGTGAAGTGAATGTTCTTTTTATAGGTTATCTAGTCCTGCTGGAATTATGCGACAGCCACAGAAAGCATCGTTACCGATAAGAAAATATCTTCAGCTATTAAAATCCAACACTGGATGTTATACAAGTAATTTAAGAGTCTGTTTATCATGTAAATCAGGCCAACGAGAGATGTCAATAAAAGTACGATTTACTCATTAGGACTCTCAAACTATTTAACTAAAACTACAAGGTACCAACAAACCAATGAAAATCCAATGGTCAGACATAAATTCGTATAGCCCTAAACTTATGACTAGTGTACAGATACGTGACGTTTCACGTCACTTCGCTTTATAACAGGATAAGCAGAATACCGTTTTTTATTGTGCCATAGCTAAGTCCAATCGTTTCACATTTCTTTTCATCTTTTCTTAATACTGACCTAGTTTCATTACTTAATGAACCTTTTTATAAACCACTAAGACAAAGTTGAGTTAAAGTGGAACACAACGAGTTACCGCATACCTGCAGATTTACAATTTCGGCTACAATAAATTATAAATAGAACATGTCCTACGTAAGACCCACTTCTGTGAGCATGAATTTAGTTTATTATTTTTTGAAACAACGAAATCTCTCATTCTGGAAATTAAAACCACGTTTTTACAAGTTTTAAGTGTGTAACTAACTTGCTCATCCCCCTTACGCTCTCTCAAGTGAACTGTAATGTGATCCTTTATTTGAACATGATTAGTTGATGAAACACCACAAACAGAACAGGTGAAGATTTGTAGCTCAAAAAAATGAACTCCTGAAGGATCCAAATGAACACTCATTACATGCTTTCGGAGGTCGAATGTTGATGTAGCAGAAAATTTACATTCAGGACAGCATAGTGAGAACACTGAAGCAGATTTAGGATGTTGAATAAATTCGGCACTCTTCACGTCCATAGTCAAAAACCTTAAATCGAAAAAGCTACTAAAATTAGGAAACAAAAACAAATTAAGAAGTCTGTTTATATTTTAAGATTGTATTATTAATGATTTTCCATAAAACACATCAATTCCGATAACCTGCTCATAAGATCATTATTCGTTGTGTCATTCTCAGAACATAATGCTTTATCATTGTCTGACGCAAGTTCACCGGAGTGGGATATAAAACGGGTGTCTGGACAGACTTTCCAGCCTTTTTCTAGGAAGAGTTCGCACACATCTTGAGAGGAAATACTTAAGTAATCACATAAGAAGTCAACACATATGTGTGAGTATGCGCGAAAAAAAAGGTCTGTAATGGAGCTGAGCTGTCTATCACGAATTTGTTTGACCATTCGAACAAGAATATCAGGCTGTTTTTCATCTACAAGAACTTGTGAAGCGCGAGCGAAAAAAGATTTCATATCATTTCGCACAAGGAACCGACCTAACTCCCACAAGCACTTGATTGACGCATTCTCCTTGATTTTGAGCGGCATTCTTTTACATAGGAACCTTGCATTGATCAAATCAGATTTCATCAAATATAACCCCAAATATTGTAAATAAAAGTCGACTGGTGAAGGACTTCCCAATGATGTGTGACAAAACTTAGAATCGAAATTTACGGTATCCAGATCTAATTCGAAGGCTACCATTTCGGCAAGCTGCTCCTCCAACGCCGAGTCATCTGACATCACTTTCCTTTACTGTAGCACACAGTCTAATAAAGCCGCGAGAACAAATACCACAACAAATATTAGATACGCGAGATGAATGGATATTATTAGTTTTAAACGGCTCTTGTATGAATAACATACTACTGCCTGTATTCGATATTTATATAGAGCCTTGTTATTACTCTGCGATACATCCCTATTTCACATTTCTTTCATCTTCAAAGGTTGGTTAGGACTTATTTATTTATTCCTGTTGATGTTATCTAGGAACTTGAAAAACCTGATTACTTCTGAATAAAGTTTTTAATATATTATTTGAGGAGCTTTTTTGCATGCTTGACTCTCAGAACTAGGTATTGAATAATTTACAAGTGAGACAATGTGGACATCGAGCTCGAGGCACTATACTTCTTCAACATAGGAAAGTCCATGGCTTTATTCCATCCACTCAAAGCAACCTGAAGCTCACAATCTCTCCTCACTCACCAACATGTTGAAAATTTCGCTTAGCTAGTGCGAGATGTCCGTGTACTGAAAGGAAACAACTATGACTCCCGTCCATCAAATGTTATCAATACAACGCCCATCAAACTATGGACTGATCAGCCTCACTAGTGTTGAAGTCAAAGCACTGGAAAAAGTCATAAAAAGACAACTATTACGCTTCAGAGGCCAAAAATGTCTTAAACAGTAAGCAAAATAGTTTCATTTTAGTACCCATTGTGTACTCCAATAAAATGAAGATGACGCATGCCACTAAAAAAACCCTTTTATTACTTTTGCACATTCCGCCCACTAACCACGTTATTGCCCCATGAAACCAAAATTCGGATATTAGTTGCTCTGCCGGTGCGTATACTTCAAATATGAATTCCCAGGGCAAGGATATGATGAAAGAGTATTGACTGAAGACGTTGGTAGTTAGGCAGAATCAGTAAATACATAACCCGTTAATTTTTATGTGAGTCGGAAAGCGTAAGAACCACAGAGTCAGTGAGAGACTGGGCAACGGTTACACAGGTATTCCAGGCACAGATAAAAATATGGGTATGATGATTAAGATCACCTTTATAAATCACGGTATAACAAGAAGGAACATAAAACACTATTGATCAAGAAGTTAGGATATCCTGGGTTCATGAGATTCACATCCTATAAATGCATTACATCTTTCTTTAAATAGCATCAGAGAAACTCTCTGAGTGTGTAGAGCATTTTCTTTTTTGTGACCGGAGTACAGTAGCATTCCTCCATAATCTGTTCTTTTCTCTCAAGCTTCAGTCCAATGAGTAACACATATTCCAAGAACCGTGAAGTCACATCTGCCCTTTTCGATAGATATTTGACTGGTCCTCCTGATCTCTCAGTGTCCGAACATTTCATGAACCTATATTACTTGTTGCTCTGGTTGTTGGAAGGGTCATCGACCTCGTGATTTGCGACAAGTCTCGACATATGCTCTGAAAGAAGATCCTTCAACTCGGAGGGCAGTGTTTAAGTAGTTTAGTTCGTGTATTCTGGTTAGCGTCTTTTTAGAAAGTTTGATTCCTACGGGATAGAGTTTCTGACTCCATGTCCAACCTTCCTACTTTACCCGAGATAGTAACTAACAATAACCCTATAAGGCCTACAGGCGGAGTTGTGTAGCGTCTAGTTGCATTAGTTTTTATGCAGTCGTGGTGCAAGGTATTTCTATAGCCCAATACGTGCAAGGCCATCAATAGTTGAGGAGTATGTTGTAGAGATCAACAGATGACTAAAAAGACATGCCTAGTAAATAGATTTGAATTGAGTATGAATCTGATTTGCCTGGGTGTTTAATAGTATTCTATTCTAGGGGATCGTGTAGCGTGTTACAAAAATGTTGACTTTGATATTCCTCAGTACAAAATCATAATTACTATTTCCGGAAGACTTTGAAGTACTACAGTGTACTGTAGTTTCATTACCTAGAATTTTGAAAATAAGTCAATGTTTGGTTTATTTTGTATACACCATAAGGAGTCCAATTTCCATGCTTTACATTATTCTTTATAATAAAGGCCAGGAGTGAGGAGTCTATTAAGATAACTATATTTCTCGATTTTCTGTCCGTCTAGGGGGCGCATGCAGTAGGATTGCCCATGGGGACACTAGTAATTTCTTGAGGGAAAGAGGAACGTTGCCCTACATTTACTGCCCGGGGTCAGTCCCTGCAGAAAGATGAGACTAAGTCGTGCATTTACTTATCAAGTTGAGTGTATGTTTAAATAGTAAAGACGAGTGATGTACTTTGTCAAACGCTTTAGTAAAGTCAAAGTATGGAGTGACAACTAGTTCTCCTCCATCAATGTAGATTGTTATATAACCAAATTTCTTTAGGTGGCAGATTACCCACGAATGTTTGTGATGAAACTGAAGAAATCGCTTATTTTAACTTGTCCGTTCATCCTTATCGATACTCTCAGTCAGTCAGTCAGTCACAACGTAGAACTTCGTACGTACGTACATCAGTTCGAGTTGCCATACCAAATTAGCACCGAGATGAAGTTGTCGATTCAAATCCCATATTGGTAGAAGTAGTATGAGTATAAGCATCATGTGAAAGATTAGGGTTTGAAGATGTTATTGAAGGAGTATAATCCAGTGAAATAAATTTAAAAAGAGAGAAAGGATAGAGATATGAAGATCCCAGAAGATTATAATTTGACAGAACACGGAGAGTGGATGCACCTCCGCCATTGCAAACGATTTTGAGCCATATCATTCAAGGTCTCTAGCCATCGGTTGCTATCATCTCGCGAATCCCAACCAGGTAGTCTACACCTACCAACATGACACAGTCCAATTGTTAGTGACTTCATGGATTTTTGCCACGTTTTGGTCTGGTCGCCCCTAGCATTCTTCCAACCTAATCGTACACCATGGAGCATTGCATGTCGGGGCAGTCGGTGGTTGGGCATACGTAACACGTGTTCCAGCCATCTCAACTGATGAAGTTTCACTACATCATCAATGAATTTGCCATCATTACCTAGTACCCGTTCCCTAACAACTGCATTACTTACTCGATGGTCCCAGGATATACGAGCAATGCTTCGAAGACATCTATGATCGAATACTAGTAGCCTACGAGTGTTCTCTACTCTTATCGGCCATGTTTTACTGCCATAAAGTAGGACAAAACGAACTGCTGCACAGTAAACCCGTCCTTTTGTTGCTAGACGAATATCTCGCCTACACCATAAATGGCGCAAGTTAGCGAAAGCTAGACGAGCCTTCTGTATCCGTGCTGAGATTTCGTCACACCAGACCACAAGGGCTGATGAGAATCCCAAGATAAGTGAAGCGGTCGACACGCTCAACTACTTCACTCCCTATCATTAGTTCAGGTGTCGATGCAACCCAATCCTGAAGTAACATTTTGCACTTCGAGGCAGAGAATCGCATCCCGAACATGCCTGCATTGTTGCTTATGGTGGTCAGAAGACTCTGCATTTTGTCAGCGTCTTCACCAAATAAAACTATGTCGTCGGCATATTCTAAGTCAGCCATTGAGCCGTCCGGTTGAATTTCAACTCCTGTAAATTTGGATGAGGAAAGTGTGATTTCTAAGAGCACGTCTACGATACAGTTAAACAAGGATGGAGAGAGTGGACAGCCCTGACGAACATCACTTGAGGTAATCAATTCTGATGACAGTTCGCCATAAGCTATAACTCGACCAGTTGTGTTCGAGTAGAGAGCCTGTTTAAGGTTAATGTACTTCTTTGGTACTCCTTTCAGTGACAAACACTGCCATAGAAACTCACGATCAACGAAGTCAAATGCCGCCTTAAGGTCAAGAAATACTACGATTGCGGGACGTCCGAATGTATGTCTATGTTCTAGGACCTGACGTAGAGTGAATATCTGGTCTATGCAACCACGTCCAGGTCGGAAACCAGCCTGGTTTTCTCTAGTCTGCACTTCACGAGCTTTGGTTGGGCGCCTTAGTATTATTAAAGCGAATATTTTAGACACTATATTAGTCAAACTGATTCCTCTGTGATTGTCACAGGAGGAGTTTGTCCTTTCTTATAGACTGGCACAATCAGTGATTGGGACCAGTCAGATGGAATTACGTCCAGTTCACAGATTCTACCTAAGACCTCAGTCAATCTCGCTGCTAGTACTGGACTACCATCCTTAAAAATCTCAGGAGTAAACCTGTCAGGGCCTGCTGCTCTCCCTCGCTTCAGATTTCCTATAGCTTTTCAACTTCGCAGAGGGTTGGGGGACTTACATCAATTTGCCATTCTGAACGACTGGGGATCG